TCCATAACCAGATGGAACAAAGAAAGCACCATCTAAACACATCCTTTGATGTTCTCCATTTCCATTTCTTCCAACCTCCAGCCTCTCTTTTTGTCACATGCATTCCACCCGTTAATTATATATAATTAACCATCAAACTCTTTTACGTACGTATGTAAGTATCTATATGTGTGTGTGTGTGTGTGTGTGTGTGTGTATATGTACCTCTTTGGAATCAGGATTATTAGGAGCTATGAAGTGATTTCCTTCACTGAAGATGGTAGGGTTAGCACTACCACCAATTGCATACATTTGCCATTCATCATATCTATTGTTTGCAACATGAGCATACCCAAATCTCACCCTGCAAAATTAATCCATACCCATTATCAAATTAATTAATCAATTTTCGTTTTGTTCACAGTAATTTTCAATTATTATATCCCAGTTTGCTTCATTTAATTTTTTTCTCCCTTACCTTGGCATCCTTTCAATAAGTCCCAAACCAAAATGGTTGAACACAATTGTAACTTTCATTGCCTTGTCTGCACTATATCCATCACTGTGTCCGAGCAACATTACCTACAAAAAAAGCTCAAAACTTATTACACCCTAAATACTCCAAACCCAGAGAATCACACGTGAGAAAAGCAAAGAAAACAAGAATTACTTACTTTATCGTGATCGGTCATGTAATTATTCGAGATAGTAATGGCGGTCGAAGCATGAATTATATCGATCAAACCATCAGTGCAATGAGAAATGAAGCAATGATCGATCCAAATGTTTGAAGAACCAAAAATGCTAATCCCATCTCCATCAGAGCCTCGTCGACGTCCGACATGGCTAGTGCTGCTCCTAACCATGCCCGCCTTCCCGGGTTTACAATGATGAATGCTAATCCCATGAATAATCACATGACTAACATATTGAATTGTAATACAAGGTCCATTAGAAATCTCAACTCTAGCTCCCCTTCCATCAATAGTCTTATAACTATTCACAATAAGTTCATTCTTGAGCGTGATCACCATATCCCTGCTGAAAATGATCCACAAAGGTTTTGTTTGGATAACACCATACCGAAGAGTTCCCGGTTTAGGGTTTGCTGGATCATCAGCCGGACTGGTAACTATATAAATTGCTCCATTCTTCCCTCCCATTGCAGATTTTCCAAACCCTACTGCGCAATCAGCGAGTGCTTGACGATTTGTGATCCAATTAGACTTGGTGCGCCAGCATGAATCGATGACATTCATCACCTTTTTAGTGGTGCTAGGAAGATAACTTGACAAGGGTTTGTTGATGTATGTCTTTGGTGAATAATTAGCTTGAAAAGTCAAAGCGAAACATGGAAAAAGACATGAAAGGATCAGTAGAAGAGAAGTTTGGGAAGCCATGGTTTGGTGGTCTGACTTTAATACACAAGAATCAATAGTGTTCTATATATATATATATATGTATATGTATTTATACACAGACCCACATATGTATATAGACAAACAAGAGATTTGGAGGTGGTAGACACGATTAGATGCTAAATAGGTAATATATACACAAAACGTGATTGCACGAGCTTTAAAAGGGACGTTTACTTTAGAGAGCTTAACATTTTTTAATATAATATAAATTACTATATATATATATATATTAAATATATCTTTTAAATATTTTTTTATAATTATTATATTATCTGAACACATAACAATTTATTTTAAGTAACTTAAAACACAAAAATGGTATAACCAATATTCCATATATGTAATTATTATTTTTAGTACATTTGTCTAGTCCATTTTTCGCTAGAAAGCTGCTTTTCTTCTGTGTGCTAGATCATATTTATATATATAGATATACGTTTGTGTGTGTGTATATATATATATATATGAATATATAGAAATGTTAGTAACTAGTGAAGAAGAAAACTAAAACGTCAACGTAGAGACGTATATATACATGGGTTTGTTAGACCATTAAAATATATATAAACCATTCCATTACCTAAATGTTTACCTTATACACATATGCATATATATACACATATAGATACCCGACTTCTTCAATCTCAATAC